AAAAGAATTTCCCTTAGCTGATAATGAACTTTAAAGTTGTGCGGCAAAGTTGGTAGACCAAGCAGTGTTCTCCGGTGACATACAATTCGAAGACACGGTTCTGCATTCTTAGCTTGATACACTCTGCTAAAAAATGGTTTGTTGTCGGAGGCTCGCAAATTTGAAGTTCCGAGCGATTTAAGGGAGAAGACGCGAATTAGTGCTGTTTATAATAATTGGTTGTTAAGCAGCCGCTAATGTTTTAGCCAGCTTAGTTTGTTTATTTAAATAGAATTTATTTAAGTTGAAAAAAAAAGAGAAATATACTCTCGGAAAATCTTTCCGGTAAATAAACGGCAACGCCCAAATTTTTTAGGATCAAACCTACCGTTCCTGGAGGAAACATTTGAGGTCACTGGGGTGCTTTTCTAAATACAGTTAAACGACAGCGATCCGCTAATATCAAATGTGCTCGAATTTAAAATTTCGTTGCCTGGTTGCGTCCAAAAAAATGAACGGTTCGGAAAACCACAACCGTAATTTTTGTAATTTTTTATTTTTTGCTTTGAGGAGAATAAAAGTGCTAGCACGGGCTGTCAGTGAGATAAATCGAATAGTAGAAGCCTTGATCAGTTACTTTACGCACAGCTCGAAGCTGATTCGTTAATTTTAAGAAAAAAATAGCTCTGCTGTCTAAAAAAAGATCAAGTACTGAAATATTTTATTGCTCTACTATTTACTAAATTACTTTTTTCATAAAAAAAATATAAGATAATTTAAATAAACTCTAGTAATGCGCACTAAAAAACCAACTCTCAAACGAGAAAGCAATGAAAGGAAAATAAGTTAGTAAGATGCTTCTTATCTTAAATATAATTCATAAGCAAATTAGCTTAAAAAGAGACGATCAGATTTGGTGTGGGGAACGAAAAAAACTGTTTGCCTAACACGAATTAAACTCTAAAAGATGTAGTTTAGTGTAATTTGTTAACAATTTATATAAAAGCTCAAAAAAATTCTTTAACTTCGATCGAGATGCGCTACCACACCACATCGTTCTATGCTTCATATGACTACTTTTTTGCAAATATTGCTAATAAGGAAGTGTCCGATTTTGTTGAACGTGTCTTATATAGCATCTCATATATAAAAAAACGTGAGCGCCGTTCTCATGAGAGGTCGTATTATGGATTTGCTAGGATGATAAGCAAGTGTTACTCGAAATAAAGGAAAACACGTCGTTTTATAGATGATACGAAACTGCTCTACTCAGTGGAACAAGAATACAAAGCGAAAGTACTGAAAGAAATTAACTGATAACATATGCTAATTTTTACCGATATAATTTGGCAAACTACTAAATACCATATGCACAAAAAGATTAACTTTTAAGCATTAAAAATAGCCGGAAAATTAGCCGTAAATTTATAACGAGTCGCTCGAAAACTATAAGTATTTTAAATATACCATTTGTCAATTTTCGAAGTTCAGTTGGTGTTCGTAAGGGACAGCAAACAAAAATATCCAACGCAGCAATTGTTTCAATATGTCCATAGCTAAACATTTACTCGTGAAATATATCACTCGTTACAAAGATATGTGCAGTAAGCGTTCCAAGCATCCGGGAGCTTACGGCAATGTCAACTAAGACGAAAAGCTTCAATCGTACGTCATTTTGCTTAATGTTTACTATTTTTCCAGCAGCATATAATAACAAATGCTGAAAAAAATTTACCCTTCGCCTTATCATGCGATTATGAATTTAATTGGCAATTCACTGACAGTCAGTTTTAGTTTCTTACAAATTGACCTTAATGAGGGGTCAGTAACAAGTACCTAAATAATTGTGTCGGGAAAATGAAAAGGAAGAGGCGAAGGTTGATGCCAGTTTATGCTTGCCAATTTGATTTAGTAGTCCCCGGCTTTTCTCATCTTTTATCTGAACCTTATTTGCTAAGATGCGAGTTTCCCGCTGAGATTTACCTTCTATCAGACCTTCAGTTGCTACAACTTAACATAACCATTATTTCATACGCAGTATAAAACTAGGAAGGTACGAATGTTGGTAAGAACTCTGCAATAGTCAATTACATTCTAACCCTCTCTGGTGTAAATAAATAAGTTTACTAAAACATAACTGGAATGTAGCAATTTATAGTATACCGGGTGCTGGTTTGCTCGCCAAGTCTAATGAGCAGCCAGGATCTGTCGTTAATCGCATGTGACGAATTTCAAAAACAAATTCAACGCTTGCTGATTCACTTTTTTTTTTTAAATTTTACTCCCTCCCTCACCCCCTCCGAAGTAGAGTAAGGAAGGGAAAAATGGGAGGACTAAACAGCTCCGCTTTATTAACCTTGATTAACCTAGCTGAGACCCTGCCAAGAGAACTCAACGAATTTTGAATTCGGCATAATTGACACTCTAGGGAGTTAGAAATTACGTCCTAAGGCCCACACAGATATTGCAATGACCGAAAATTCACCGATCCAGTGCAGACAATGATGTCTACTGTATCCCCATTCCTACTGCGTCCTCGGGACATTTGGAGAGGGTGGTTTGGTGACCCACCCAAAAGCACCCTTTCCCATAACGACCGTACCTAAGAAGGGGTAACAGCTGTCCAACGGTGGTCTCTTCCCCTCCCTTTTTATCTGGAGTGAGTGTAGAGGGTAGGTGCAATACGAGGATGTGTTTTCTCCTACCATGGCTTTTTAGGCAGCTAACCAAGCAGCCGTAGCCCCTCTCTCTCGCGGATGTCCTCAACGCTCTGGGGTCGATTCTGATGGATCAGAAGAGGATGGTATAGTCCTGTCGAAGTTACAAGCTGAACATCAATAGCAGTAAGGTTTGACAGACATCACCTTACTCATCTCGCCTCGGAATGCGTGATGTGTGGGACATAAGCCCGGTCGTTGTCGAGGTCGCATACATACAGTCCTTATTTTTCCTTGTCAACCAGATTTTCCAACCATATACTGTGTTACACCAATTTGTGTCGTTTTATTGGTACGAGTGAAACTAGCTGACCATTGTAGCATTGGATGGCAAGTTTTTAAGCCTTTTGTATCAGCTGTGTGCGCTTAGTTTCCATTGTTGTGTTGAAGGCATTCCTCCTCACTCGAAACTGAAAGTGATTAAGGCGAACGAGCCCAATGCTCGTCGCCATGGTAGATCTACGTAAGGTGCGTATCCCGATAAATAATTTAATACGACTCTGGACCATTCTTATAGTAAAACTGGTATCTGAAATCAGCGCAAGCACTACGACTTAAAATTTGGTTTGCCAATAAAGTAGTGTATATGCCTTCGATTCAGTGCCAGACTTCACCAATGGGGGCCGTTTTGAAGTCGTACGAGGAATCGAATTTCCCTAAGCTCTTTGCATCATCGTACTAACGCATGGTGCTTAAAAAAGCAGGCTATGTAAATATTTAAAACAGTTTAAATTGATTTCGATTCTATGCGCGTATACATCATGGTCTTGAGACAAAGATGACAGAAATAATATGCAATTAACTATCCACATCAACCTAGTGTACTTCAATGATCAATACGTCCGTGAAAACATAACAGAAGGTGAAAATTTAATGATGACAGTTACTAGGTTTAGTGAGTTCAGCTGGTCATGACGTTTGCTTCGGATACATAAAATTAAATCCATTCTAAATCAGGCAGTGATCACAGCTTGTATAATCTAAAACTTGTGTTAAGGAAAAACATTTTGATGAAAGCGTTCTGATAGGCCTATAAGTTAAAACTATTTCCATGCAGGCTTACGTTTGTCGGCGAACAACTGAAGTAGCTTTTCCATCGCAGTGCAAACATATTAAGTAACAAAGGTATTGATAAATGTTTGTTAATTTGACAATGTTTGAAAAAAGCTAACTGTAGAGATAGCAACTATTTTTATGAAGGAATAATCTTTCTCACATGAACTGCCGTATCATCGGTTATATTGTCTTGTCCTGTTTAATTTTTCCCATCATGGCCTTACCCTCCTGAATTCTCCTACAACAGACTCCTACAATAGATTTCGCGGTTTTTGTTACATTAAAAGTAAAAAAGTCGTATCTGCGCTGCCATAAATTTTTACTCCCAAAAAGAGTCTTTGCAGAAATATGGTTCGGCAGATAATTATAAGAGTAGATAAACTGTTGAATACATTATAATAATAACAATATATTCAAGGTTCAACGAAGTCTTTTTTAGTCACTACAAACTAGTTTACGAAATCCTCGAGAACTTATACTCAAAATGAACTCAGGGTTAAAGACAGTATTCGAAGCATGCTTTGCGGAACCTCAAGCGGCAAAAGTACTCACTGAAAAACAAAGCGATAAATTTATTGCAGCAAGCATAATAGGTATTGAAGCCGAAGAATTTAAGAATCTGAACAGTGTCCTTTTGCTTGCCAAATTTCGTGTTTTATCCTGACCGTAGGATGACTTCAATGAAGACGAGTTAACTTTAGACGAAGATGAGGTAATTTGTGACCAAGTTGTTAACAGTTTCTAATCATATATATTGTTTCCTTAATAAAACTTCGGCCAAGACATTTTTAATTATAGTATATGTAATCGTTATAAGTGATACTGTTATATGGAAGTATAGTGCAAAATCGTTAAACGTGTGCACGAGGGCAATTAACCGATGTCATGAGACTGCAGAGATGTCCACGGTATTACGCTACCGGACAAAATGTTGATCTTAGTTATGCAGTCTGAGTAAATGCAAATATAAAAAGGTGCCTTAAGTGTGCCTCATGTTCCTGGAGGATAAACTAAACGCAACTTTAAAAGAATTGCGCACTCATATTGATCAGTTTACAGTGCTTCAAATTGTTCCTGACATAATCGATGTCAATCCGATTCGGATTCGTAGGTATGTGTGTGATTAAAAGCTCTAAACGTAAAGAATCTAGACCCCTTACCTTCATATCCATGTTGTAGTTGTAGCGGCAATCACTTGCATGCCGGATGCATCTATAAAGAAAAAAAAAAACGTTTGCAGAGCGCACAATAAAGGTGTCTTAAACGTTTGAGATGTTCGCAAAAAACATCCAATTATTGGCTAAGATCTAGATATGGATACGGGGTCTCTCATTACAATGCCAATATTAAAGCAGAGTCAGACGATGAACTTGATGTGAGGACAGTGATGCCAAAAGCATGTCGCGCATATTTACCGTGATAATGAAAGAAGTCAAAGAAAAATCGGGAAATAACGATGATGCCTTCTGGATTCGCCAATACACGGGATCAGACGCAAATATTATATACGGGGATAGTTTAGATTGACCACCTAAACTAAATTCATAGTACGGCCCAAGGCAATCAGGACCTGGAATGTATGGGGCACCTCTTGGAAAATTTACATTGTGTAAATTGGTTGTTGTTGTTGAACCTTTGGGAATATCCTGAATGAAAATGGTTTCAAAACTATGGATGGTTCTCTTCGAAGACCCCACAAATGATAACGTGACATTTAATTAATAAAGGTGAACCGGTGCGAAATAACAGCCCGCGAAGTATCTACAGCAGCAACATCTAATAGTTTCATGATCTGGGCTTGGTTAACATCTTCCGACCTACGCTAAGAACGATTTACGTGTCTTTCCAAACGTAGAAGATTAACTGTGGTGAGCAGCGCGGAGCTCGTTCAGAGACATTAGGATGCCTGAGATTTCCGTTTTCTCAACAAGCCAGAACGATACTTTACCTAATTACAAGTATTCACTTCCTAATCCTAGTGACATTCACAAGATACAGCGGCGATCGCTACTTTTCGAAGATAGATTTAGCGTATATTCAGCTGGTGCTAGAAGAAGACTTAAGTCTGTTTTAACAGTCAATACATCGAAAGACTTGTGTAGATTTAACCGAGCATCCGTTGGTGTTGAAATCGCACTCGTTCAACTTCAACAAATAATGGACACAGTTGTAGCAAACGTAAGGAGTGCGTTAACTTGGGTTAGCTCGATCGCATTATTGTCGCTGGAAAGAGAATAAACGAACTGAATTAAAGAGTGAAGAAAGAAGACTGAAAATTATAGATTGAAGTTTGGAAAAATCTTCCTCCCTATACACAAAAGTAAAACACCTAGGCTCACTGATTATAGCGAAAAGAAAACAACCAAACTTCTGGACTCCAAGTAAATCCATAGTGGGATATGCTTGCCTACCAGATTCCCGTTTTAAAGGGTAGAATGTCCCATAATCATGCGGACTTAGATCGGGAAAATAGACGGGTTGAAGCCAACACTATTGCTTTTTTGCTCAATTCAGGGAGCAACTGAAGCGTGGCGACGAAATCTGGCATTGTCATAATGTGTATCACAACCAGACTGCGCGTTTTCCGATTACCGTAGAATCATTAATCTCTTGAATAGTTCGAGATAGCGGACTGTATTCATGGTTTAATTTTCGGCGAGCAATTCATAGTAACAAATGCCCCTGATGTCCATTGCAAACAGTACTATCACCTCGTTTCCGAACGCGCTTGGCATTGCCACTGAACTCAGTTTTTTTTCTAAGGCAACGCGGTTCTATCGCGTGATCTTTCTTCGGCTAGTATCCATCTACCCATCTCCTACAACGACCGTATGCTTCACGCGGATTTTTTTTTTTTATTAATTAGAGCCTGAAGTGAATCCTTGGGGGATCCATTTGTACGAAGTTGTTGCATCTTCAGTATTTGGGTTAAATTATGTAATGCGTTTCATGTGAAATGCTAGTTTTGGCTGACAGAGCCCTTAGATTTCAAGCTCTGCTTTCGTGAAAACCCCCTCAATTGCAGCATCCTTTGGGTCCCGACATCTGGTTCTCAAATTCTCAAATCTCCGTTCTTCAAACGTTTACACCACTTAAGTATTGTGTGCTCCGCTAACTTCTTCTTGTCTAATACCTCCACCAATCATTGATACATTTCTCCAGCGCCGAGGCTTTCGAGAAACAAAAATTTGACCACTGAATCTTAAGTTTTGACACTGAAAAATGTTTTTCTTCCCGAATTATTTGCCCAATGTAAATTTAACTCGCTTAAGTTTGTAGAATACTGAAATATTTGGCTAGTCCTAGTAGTGTGTAGTTTGAAAATTACTATATTTCGAAGTCCGCTGGATTTGCTTGTAACAGTCTAATATTTTATGGATTACGTGTAACTTAAAGCCCGTTGAATGAACAAATGACTTCCTATAAACAAATCTATTTCAGGCAAGTTTAAACGAGATAACGAAAATTCGTCAGTCGTCGTCTTTATTGATCCCTTTCGATCCGACCCTTGTCGATGAAAGCCAGTACGGCACCGCAAACGCTAATGGTTGGATGTCACAGAAAAAGTGATCCGAGGTTCCGGGTCCCCGAAAGTGATACGCCCTTTAACTTGAGCGGGAAGATTTACCCTCAGATAGGCAGAAAAACATCTGCATTGATTGCTTATGCTGCACTTGTGAACGGTTCAGGAAATTCGTATCGTTGCACTGTTTATCGATTATAAGTGCAGGCTGTTGTGCGGAATTCCATGTTAACTGCTGTAACAGTTCACGGTTTTACCCTCATTGTACATAACGCCGTCTATCACCAATATTTGAAATTGTCTTTGCCTACGTTTGTCTACGGACATTTGTGAGACTCAGCCGATTATCTCAGTTCGATAGCGCAGGGCTGTATTCAAGGATCTTTCATCCAGGAGTTTCTCATGAAAAATATTATGGAAGTGATATTTCTAGAAGCAGTCTCGTTTATCATGGAAAAAATGGAAAATACCTGATTTTAAACACAGGTATCTGACTGAAGCTAAACTGTCAGCAGGATAGGCAAACGTTCGCTGTGTACGAGTTTTGTAGTTCAAAAAAAAAGCTTCCCTTAGAACGTACCGTCATTAAACTTAATGGTGGACAAATGATCCTGGGTACTTCTCATTGTACCAAAAAAGAACAGAGCGCTAATGTTCGGGCTATTCCAGGCCGAAACTGCGATCAGGTTCTGTCATTTGGCGGATACGTGCACAGGTGACTGTTCGACAGGTATTTAAGCCCTTCCATGTCGACCTTGCGATACATCCACAAACCTTTAGCTTTTTAACAAAAGATGTAGATGACCGATACTTTAAAGACAGGACTTCTCCACTTTGGCTCTTATTTCAATGTTGCACGCCCCAAGGCTTAAACGGGTTACAAATCATTTCAAAAATTAGTTTTAAATGGTATTAGTGGGAAAAGCGATATTAATATGCTTTACTCCACCAAGTGATGTACGTCGCACGCAAACAAACCAGCATATTGAAATTTTGATTTCACAGTATCTGAAATACTCCAAAATGAGCAGGTGTTTCAAAGATGAAAACGCGCAGAAAAAAAACTAACCGTTCAAGCTTATCTGCATGACATAACGGGCGATAGGTGCTCTCGTTGCGCCGGAATTTCTGATTCATTAGGAATGCCCTTTTTGCTATCTTGACAAATTTTTAAACTATTCCAATTTAACTTTTTGTTTCGCCTTATAGAAAACCATTTCCTAATATTCAAAAACTGCACGGAACCTCGCAGCAATGTCGGCCATCGATTTCGGGCCACCAAAGAGCTCGTAATTCCAATAGGGCTAGACTAGCGTGTAAATATTAAATAACAGTCAGCCTTCGCTCGTATTGGGAAGGCAAACCTACTGCCTCCGTAACTATCGGTCTGTGGCTCTTTTCTCGAGGAACTAATTTTTCATTAGTGCTAAAAATGGCAGATGCACACATTCGTCCTACACATCTGTGCAAACTTATCTCAAACGCCTTTTATGCCTACAGTGTATATATATACACAGCTAAAATTTGGGATTTATGCTCGCCACATAGAACAGCGCAACATACTCTCACCGATTTAGTTTGTTTTTATATAAACCTGATTGATTAAGTATCAGCTAAGTATCAGTTGTTCAAATATGTTCCACGTAGAATTTGAATTGCATAAAATAATAGTTTAAAAACAACGAAACAATTCATTGTCAAACGCGCGGTTAATTTTAAGTAGCTTTTTACTTCGATATGAGCAATGCAACCCGATAGATGTTTAATTTACAAAAAGTGTGTGACTTTAAACCCAGTTCTCCAGAGTGGCAAGCTGCCACATTTCCCCTGCTTCATCTCCCAACTGCAGATTTTTGTTCTTCTATCTACGGAATACTGGAGAGCGGATACTCATCGCTTTTCTTGTTTGCCTTAGAGTTTGTTGTCTACAAGTGCATATAGAGGAATGAGCACACTTTTTTTACACACCTTTCGACGTATTTTTAAAACTACGAAGGGTGGCTATAAGAATTTGTGTCCTGTTCTTCGAAATTCGTCAACACAACCAATATGAACAAAATATCTGTATTAATTGGAGTCTACTACTTGCATATATAATTCAAAGTATTGCTGTTTTCGCAGGTTTGTTCTGATAGAAATGGTCTTATATATTATACTATTATGTTAGTGTCAGATATACATTGACATTCTTCTAGCTAGATAGTTTTTAAATTTTCAGGAGCTATAAGTATGTCGGGTTTGCATTGATGTCATTCAAAAGCTGAGATTATGCAGTAGTAGATGTGTAGTAGTTACCGGAATGCCTTTTCTCAAGTTTGAGACAGAGCATTATAATTTATGCAAAAAATCGCAGTACTTTAAAATTTTGTCACAATAAAACGTTTGCTGTTTGTGGTTAAAATGTATTATCGCAAGAAACGGCGGTCGCTTTCGTCTTGTAGATTTCGATTTTTTCGAATTTAGTTGATCAAATACGGAAAATTCAATGAAATTATTGTGAAAATTGAACACAATTGGCACATGAGCACCGATAACATTTCCAAAAAACGAAACATACACTGCCAAGGTTTGAAGGAAGTTGTCTATAAAATACATCCGATGTTTGTGCCATACGAATTGATGTAAAAAAATACTTAATCGTAAATCTGTGCGCAAAATTCTGCAAACGTAAAAAAAATATTCATTGGCTGATGAAAAGTGGACCACATATGACAGTTACGTAGGAAATGAAATTAAAAAATTGGGGTTCCACAATCTAAGGGAAATTTAGGATTGGCGCCAAAAAGGTGACGTCAAGTGTTTGGCCGCCACTTAGAAAACCGATTTATGTGGACCTTTTGCTATTAATAATTAACAATATTACAATAAGCCATTGAAAAAAATTGATGAACAACACTAATAAACAAAATAGGGGTTGTTCTTAACCTTGACAATGTCAGACCACATACATTATAGCTACCCTGAAAAACTTAAGAGAACCTGGATACAAAAAAGCTTGCACTATCTGACCATCTGGTTCGGTTCCTACAGAACCTTCGCTTAGATTCAAAGGTCATTTGCTAGAGTTTTTTTTTGCCTAGGAACCGCAGAAGTACTCTAGTAATATAGCTATGGTGCCACCAGAAGAATAGCAGGAGGAAATGGCGTATATTTAGTTTACTAGGGTTGTTTCAAAATATAAAACATTTGCTTTAATTTCGGCTTGAAAACGATCAGTACTTTTTCGACAACTCAATATTGTAATGGATGGCATACAACGTCGTGTCTTACATAACCAACTCGATCCATTACAACATATTGTAATTTATGACTAAAAGCTAGCAGGTAACGTAAAGCAGGACTGTATTAAAACGAACCCTATTGCCTAAACTGGAAAGGGTACCAGTTTATTTAAGCGGAAAAGCAAGCATCATTCAGGTACGCTGGCCTTCGTTTCGCTTGACTTGGAATAGTCCGTCTACCTCAATGTTTCGAGAACATTTCTTTCACAGAAGGGTTTACTAGCGTTTTGTCTGCACAACCTTGCAATGGTTTGTTTCGCTCCTTCTAAGTAGGAAACAAAACGGTGCTTTTTATCAGCATGTTCAACAACGGCGACTCTTTCGCTTGTTAGCTGCAAACACAACTACGTTTTAGAAATATCGCAGATGTAGCCTTTAGCTTTATGTAGTATACTCACCCCTATGCTCTTCTATCTGTTTGAAAGCTTACTTTAAGAACACTTTAGAGCGCTGTCATGGCTGCATACTTCACACGCAGCTAGTGGCATCTTTTGCAACTGCTTTTGGTCAGTGTTCTTTTTTTGACAGCTTACCGAAATACACTATGTGATCTTTGACAGGTCAATTGCTGATTTGTTATTAGCTTGCATTAACACTGCGAAACGGACGATTTTAGTCACTGACCAAGAAATTAGAGCTGAAATATGCCTGCTGAAGGAAGAGAACGAGCTGGTATTAGCTAAAACGTAATTAATGGCTGGATTTGTGCTAACGACTGACCATAACATCAGCGATGTTGCTTGTGAGGATGATAATTATTCTTCTACAAAGTGTTTTGATTCATACTTAACGACTGGGAGCAAGTGAAAATTGTCCTGAATAACATGGTAGTCCTGCTACTTTCATTTCAATTCTTATATTGTCGTACGAATAAAAGATTCCTTAGTTAGAATTACTGAGACACAGCGCGCTAAAAAAGCTTAGGCCTCTGTGTTGTTTGTGTGACAACATTTATTCCTTTCTATCGAGTCTTTCGATTCTAGCAATATGTGTGCGCTAAATCGTCACTAAGTTCAAACAATAAGCGTCCTTCGGTTGAAAATGTAATTAATGTGAAATTTGACTTTTTTTTAGGTTTTGTTGCTACTTGCATTGAGGCATGTTGTTTTTGCAGCATCATTTGACTATTGCTTTATTTACTGACTTATGAAAAATCGGAAACTGAACGTGAATGAGCTCCGCTATGAATCCCTGGCGTTGTGATCTATGGCAACAGACACGACTCTTTTGGTGCGTCTTCAAGCTGTTTTCCTAATATATTACTTGAGTTATTCGGAATTTGGAAAACTTTAGTGAAACCTTGGTTTGACTCCGCACTCTTGTCGGACACTACCCTAATCTACAGCCACTTGCTTTAAAATTTGAACCCTTTGTGAATCGAAGAACATTCAAAATTAAAAACGTCGATTTGGCTCCGTACCTTTAAGATGTTAAATGAGCAAAATGTTTTAAGACGCGCCTGAAGTGGCGTTTGGCTACCTGCACGAGCTAAAGGCTTGCATGAAAACACACTTTATTGAAAATTAAGAAACTCTTCATTTTCCGCACCCAAACAAAATCTGTGCGAGCTTCCAGGATCTTTTTACCTTATTCTACTCGTTATACCTTATACTCGTGCAGAATATAATATAAGCAGCAGACAGAATCATGTGTTTTAGAGAGAAGAAAAACTACCTGTTTATCAATTGCTGGCTACTTTCATTGCGTTTTATAATTTCAGCTGTACATGGGAACCAGTTTCGATTTCTGAACTCTATATTCTTCTTGCTAATCTTGTATGCTATCTGTGCATGTTGTAAACGAAATTTAAGTTTATCTAAATTAGCCTAAAAAAAGTTTATCATATCATAATATTACCGTGACAAATCATTTGACCCTTTTTATTGTTCTACTCTACGTATCTTATTTTTTTTATGTATGCTTAATCATTTCTCCGTTGTTGTTATGCGTGCACGTTTATAAAGGACGCACCGTCGTTGCGCTTTCATGCTGTTTACTTTTTTATTCGATTCTGTATATTCTTCTTGTGAGATCTGAGCGCGTCTGTCTTTAAATCTCCGGTTAATTTTTTAACCCTTAACTTATAATTATTCAACTATTTATTTCATTTCGAAATTCGTTATGTTACCTTAATTTTGACTTACCTAAGCAATAGAATGTTATCCTGACTCAAGCAGAAAATAAAATACGTGGCGCAGAGTATAACTGAGTTTGGTTATTGCAGTTAGAAATACAATTCCATGCTGTCGCCTTCCTTCAAGTGGCTTGGTATATGGTTTTAAAGGATCTCAGTAGTCTCTTCGTCCTTTGTATGGTTTATTTTCGTTTCTAAGTAACTCTCTCGTCTTCTGACGCTTGTGTTTCTGATTGGTCTACTATGTTGTCATCGTCGTCGCCATCACCCTCTGCCATCATCCCACTCACCACAACCGCCCGCTATGTATCGAACCTGTCGCCGCTGTCGCTGTTGTGCCTTCCACTGCTACACATCTGCTTCTACCACAACCACTCAATCTCCGTCTCCAACGTTCGATATGAAATATTGAAATCAAAAAATATTAATCGTGTCTGTGTGCATATGGTGCAATGCCTTTTCTGGTTTCGTACCGGGTTCTGTTCGTTCGTCCATCTATGATCTACTTACATTAAACTATTTTTCTATATTTAATATTACTACGTCGTTATTATATCGGTTAATATAATTATATCGGCAATGATTGGACTGGCGTATGAGAATATATGCGCTAATATTTTCATACATGCATTGATGACATTTTTCGTTTCGATTTATTTTCACTGTGTTATATACTTTTACATATTCTAATTTCGCGCTTACAATTTAATTGTCCGCTTTTCACTCTGACCGCGCGAAATCTTGCCGCTCTTTCGATGAATCATCCATTATTTTTCGATTGCTCTGTTATTTACTATACGTTATTGCTTCAGAGCGGATCCTAGGTTAGCTGTCCATTATCAAAATATTCTGTGTGGTCGTCGATTATCATTCATAAACCCCATGTTATTGAATACGCTATGCTCTTAAGAAAAACGGTGATTGTATTTTTTGAGAATAGTTTTCATGTCGGCATAAGAACCATTTTTTTTTTTTTTTTCGATACTGAAAATATATCAGTGGGATACCTCATATGCTCTACAAACATTCTACTACCCTTTTTCCCATTACGAGGCTGCATATGACTGCAAACAACAAACGTTAAAAGTTCCGAGTTTAACTTCCTAATCAAATCCCTTACGTATGTTTATGAATACTTTTCGTTTTAAAGCGTTGTTAGTCGCACCATTTCGTGCCTAATGAGTTCATATTGTGGCCTGCATGATCAGATAGTGTCAGTATATTTATTTTAGTTATATTTAATAGATTATGGCGTAAAATGGTGCTCTTATTTGACTGAAATCAGAACTTGACGTCATCACTTCAAAGATGCATCTTTATCAAAAATAAATCATAGCAGTAAGTTAATTAGAAGTAATTTTATATTCGCTACGCTCGATTTTTTGCTTAAATCAAGGTACTCGAACGCTGTATCACACGATTAGAGACCTTGAAGTAAACATACTTTATCGCGTGCTTGTTTGATTTAACAAAGCGCCTTGTGAGCTAATTAAATACAACACATAAGAAGTAGCTTACGACTATTTATCTTTAATCTACTGACTTAACATTTGTACTGAACGAAGGAGATAACAATGCAACCAGATATTGGTACGGCAGTGTAGACAGCTGTCTCTAGTTTATAAGATTAGGAATAGCTGGCTGAAGACTTGAGATAAGCGACACATCTTGCAGTGAAGATTTCATGAGGAAATTTTGAAACGCCATGGTTTAATTAAAAAAATATCTATTCTGTTTAGCTCAATCACTCCTAATTAATTTACTGTGGGTTTGAAAATACCTTGTGAAGTAACTCATTCAACATTATTTCGTATTCTGATACCTCAGCGCTCAGCAATCCGCGGATTCATCCACACAGGGCAAAGGAACGAGGAAATTGGGCAATCAGGTGAGTGTAAAATGACACACTAAAATTTATTAAGGTAGAATTATTGGAGCTAGCTCTGTAGACATCTTTCCACAATTTAAACTTTTACAAATATACGTTACATAAAATAAAATAGGTTCGGCAGACCCGAATAACAGATCAATTAAAGGTCGATACTTGAAAAGAAAACGATCATTACTGTCCCGAACACAAAAAACGAGATAATATTATACGTTGTGTATTGTATATTGTAAAGTAGCGTAGAGCTAACGACTAAGTATTTTTTTTATCTTTTTCTATTTTAAAAATAATTTTTGAGCGTTACGTGGAAACCATTCCTCAAGAGCTGCCCTAATCTTTGAGTAGCTATTTCAGGCATCTAAACCATGCGAATTAGAAACATAGAGAAATGCATATTTTATACATGCTGATCCAAAAATAGGAGAGGTGTATCAAATTTTTCGATGTAAAGTACCATACGCACTATAGTAACCGTGAATTGATACGTTAGGGCGATCTTTTTTAGCGTGTCGTAGCCGGAGCCATCATCTCGTCACTTGCCACTCTTGCAGGCTCATCAACAGCTCGCTATGTTTTAGATCTTCAAATGTTATTTTTGTAATCGTTATAAAATGACCATGTTAACTGACATTAGAATAAGATAATCAAGCTGGATAGTGAGCGACTCTACCTTTTGAAGTCAGTAAAATCACAGATTCAATACATAACATATATAATGGTCATCAACAGCACAGAGCGTTTCGTTGAACATTATGTTTATGTTAAGCTATATCTGAAGAGGTTTCTACAATAAGTGAAGAATTTACAGCTGTGCTTGGCTCACAAACATGGTAACATAGAATTACAAACGAATTAAAGTACGTTGGAGGAAATGAGAATTTATTTATACTATACTAAATAGGGGCATTATTGTATTTAGGGGGAAGTAGTTACAGCTAAGTGCAAGACTATGTAGTAAATTGATCGAGCTTACCATCCGTCGCATAGAAAATGCATATTAAAATATATATTAAACTACTAAGATTTTTACGCATTGCGTGAGATAATATAGATGATTTGTCCTTGTTGTTATATACTAGATATGTTACATATGGTTCTTGGTCTTTTAAGACCGTTACGGCCGTTGGTATGTTTGAGTAAAATTTCCAGTTTCTAATACGAAATTGGAAATTGTGTGCATGAAACGAATTCATGCATTAATTGCAGGAACGCAATAAGGCTTTGGGAAATTCGTTCAAACAAAATATTTAATTAACGTAGCACGGTTGTAGAATACCTACCAAGTCAAGGTAACGGCGTCAGAATAACTAAATAAACCAATCACAAAGAAGAGTAGTGCGAAGCGTCTTGTATGGACAATATTTGGTGCCTAAATTGTCGATGATTTTGTAGCTGGATGTTGTTTCTGATGGCAGCAGTATTGGGAAGTACATGTAAATTTTTTATCACTTTTTTCCTAAGCGAAAGGTTATGAAATGTCCTTTAAAGATGACCATCTAAAATAATTTAAGGGACAGTGGTGAGAAAACTCCTAAACTATACCGATGGAAAAAAAATGGAACCCTGGCTTTCATGACGGTAACTACAGTTATGCAAATGTCGAGCTTGCTAGTTTTCATTTCGAATACAAGGTCATCATCTTGTCTATATTCCATATGCAAAGAGTAAGGCAGTCTTTGTGATTCTTTTTGACTGTTAAAACCCTTGTTAACCAGGTTGTAGCTGATTGGCATATCTCAATCTGTTATTCAAAGGACGTCTGTTTTCAGAAGTACGGTGTTTGATTCGCATAAATTAATAGTCTCTTATTAATGCTAAGACATGATTAATGTAATTTCAAACGGTTGCTCAAAACACAATTTCGTCGTCAACTTCAGTTCATGACGGGTTCAATCAACGAATGGGTCTCTTTCAAAAGGACCCGTTGGTTACTACATACTTGCAGATACTACATATACATACTCCAGATTTAGGCAGTGTCGAAATACGACACGTGTAGGTTATTTCATATAGTTTGCGAGTTTCCTAATAAAATAGGTCTCTCCTATTATAAAACATAATAATAGAAAAAGAAAATAAACTTTATTATAAAAGACAAAAAAAAATCAATAATATTTTATTCAGACGATATTTTTTGAGGGACAGTCATTGCAGATGCTCGTTCAAAAATTAGAATGCTCAGGTTCCTGATTGGCATATTAAGATCCGGAAACAATAGTATGTGGATTTTCAATCTATCTCCGTTTGTATATTCTGTGTCTTTATTTTAAATAGACGAGTTCGATATAGATACAGTTCCTTTCTTTATCTGCGTTGAAATCTCAATCTGACTTACTTCTTTTCTGGGTCGCAGAATCATAACTAAATAACTGCTTCGCTTGAAATTTTGACTGGTGCCATTTATGGAATGAGTAAAATCTACAACGTCACAGTGTATAGCTAACGGCTTTCCTTAAAAACCTCTACATTAATATTAAACGACTTGGGTGAAATTATTTAGCGATATTACGTTACTTCGTTGCCAGTGATCCGTTGACACACTGTATGTGTCCCGTTACTTAAAGGGAGAGAAGTTGTCCATATATAAACCCAAATAAACTTTATGCCTTTAGTGGAACCATCTTGCCAGTTTGCGTTCCTGCCAAATTCAATCTCGTAAGGCAAGTTGTTTTCGTACTTCAATTGGTTTTGATGCGTACACTTGTTTGTGTTGATCCCGTTCCCTTATTCCGATTAGTGCTTTTTTTGTCATAAACCATACATGCCGCAGTAGTTCATATTTTATCAACTCTCAACCAATCAGTAGTAAGTAAACACATGAAAAATCAAATTTTTTTCTAAATCCAATAAGCCACCTATACTTGAAACCTTTAGCGAATTCTCAACAGTTGTTAATCAAGTAGCAAAATATGGTCCGGATCAGCGTTACGCACTATGGGTAAGCGAAACTTTGTTGCTGGAAAAGGTATTCGTACAACCGGCTTCACTCACACATCGCTCCAGGGTGAAACTTTAGCGTTCTTATCAAATCCGCCAGATTCGACGACCTACGGTGTCGACTGAAAACGAACAGATAGGCTTGCTTTACTTGCATAGTAGGTAGATAGATTCGATAGATTTTAGAGAATGACTACTTGAAAATTCTTTGCCATATTATCTTTCGCGATCAGTCAAGCACACTTTGTCTTAGCAGGCGTGATACATAAGTTTTATAAACACCGATTGTACTTTAGAAAGCCCTAATTTTCGTTGCCCATAAAGCTTATAAAAATAGAGAAGCATTGCGCTATAAAGCATGTTAAACGTATCTAGAGGCCGTTCCTTCTTATGAATAGGAGGAACTGCCCATAAGTGTGTGACATGTACGCGCACATTAGCCACCAATTGAATGATATTGTCAGTATGTAAATAGAAAAATCAAAATCTCATGTGTTCTACGTAAATTATCGACGCTATTTAACTGAGTCGTGTTTCAAGAGCCTGTATTCTGTGCTAACTTAAACAATGTGTTTTCGTAGCTACTGCGGCGACATAATCTACGAAGTACATTTTATTTTTCTTATTCTCTTCCAATCTTTTGCAGGTGATCCGCAAGGGCTACATGTGCATTCACAACCTGGGAATAATGAAGGGAGGATCGAGGGACTATTGGTTCGTCCTTACCTCGGAAAGCCTCTCCTGGTACAAGGTTAGTTACCGCAAAACATGCATGTATGACGCCTTCTTATACAACCAATACTAATAATAATTTGTTAAACGCTGTGCTAACGCCGCTTTGAAAACAAGCCTCATTCTTGATCAAACTACATTCAACCTACAGGTTCAGATTTACTGTTTGATAATGTCATTTAGAGTAAAATCACACGCTTGAGTTCAGCGGCATTTCCTATATTTTTTCATGATACGTACATATCTGCCAACAGATGTGGGTATGGATTAGTATTTACTTTTAGTTGCAGTGCAGTGTTAAAAATTGGTGTGCAATTTCTTTTGTCACACGAGGAATGAGAATCCAAAATTACTATATCAGGGTTTCTTTTATATAATGTGCAGATGGCATTTGTTTTCTATTTCTCAAGATGTGTACATTTAGATTTTCGGTATTATTCCATGCGCCTTCATTTTGATACCCCTCTTTAAGTTAACGCTAACCTAATTCAATTCCTTTGGCATAATCTTGAATCACAACTATATACGGTTCAACACTAATTTCACCAATCATTTCACTAAGTGCTTCGTGTCGTAGATTGTCTCGGCGTTGTTCTTCTGCCATGTACGTAATCTCACAGGAAAAAAGGGTCAAATCGCGGGATCTGAACGACCTCTTAGTGTTGTCACTACGCATCGATATCAATTGCTCTAGAACATGATTTCAAACAGTGTTTCCCGCGCGGTGTAGCAAGTCGTGCTATCTTATTGGAACAAGAAGTTGTTTGCATCCGATTTCCTTATATCGGCCACAAAACCGTTGCAACATGTTACAACATAGCTCGCCATCGTCTATAGCTGCGGTTTAACCACGACACTTTTACTTCGCAAGCATAAGAATGACTATTTGTAAGCAAAGTGGTTACCCTTAAGTTTCTAAACTCCAGATTCGACAGTTTTACTTATCCAGGTAGCTATTTGGCGGAAAATAAGTCATATATTTTGGTGAAGTATCACCGTAGCAGATTCTCCATTTTGATAGTGGTTTTCTAATTGTTGCAGTATTTCGTTAATGAGTTCCGTTTCGATAGTAATTTTCGACAAAAGACGTTGCTTCAAACTGTAACCTTTCATCGTCCACAATGTTATGTTTATGGCTCGACAGTCTTTAGCTTGTCCTCCGAATCAGGAACAGGGAGACAAAATCAGCCGGCAACTCCCTATGCATCTTATACTAACTGTAAAGAATTACACCGTTGTTCAAACTGAAAATATATCGGCTAGCAGCTAAAGCTTACTTTAATCGTGTCCGAACAGCTGTTTATCGTTTACATTCTGGACCGTAACATTTAATGACAATTATCAGAAATATTACGTCACCCCTCGCAAGTCGGTTTACAAATAGTCGTATATCTTTGTTGCAACGCTTCCCAGTTGGCTACCTTCTTAGCTGCTGCGCGCCGTTATCAGTCCTCCAATGGTCCTAGCTCCCTCGGACTGCCATCCCAGGGGCTTCCTCTTCCAGTTCCGAATTTGGTAACTGGAATCTTGTGCGTCAGTCCCTGGCGCCCGAGACTTGCTTCCGTCTCTTGTTTCAAAGCCTAACACCGCTATAGATATTAATGGGTGCCACGAGGATAGGGTGTTCCTTGTAGCAACCTAGCGCCCAACCTGACGCGGCTACCCTTTCTACCGTTGCCTCAGAGGTAGCTTCTCCTGCGGGGATATAGCCCCTTCTGGAGACTCCCTTAGGGAAGCCACCCATTGCCCCGACCTGCCTCTTGCGACAATCTAATAGGTGGGTTCTGTATTCAGGTAGCAGTGGCCCAGTTAATTACGATTAAAAATGTAAACAATAAACAGCGGCTAACTCAAACGCTGTTTGGGCGTAAGTCCTAGGCGCTAGCTGATATATTGTGAGTCTCCGACCAAATACGTGAAGAAAACTGCTTTACGAATACCATAAATACAAGCTGCCGTATGAAGTTCTCTTGGTCAAGATACCAAAGTTCCTTGCTCCGGAAGACTCAGTTACCGTTGTAGATCTTCTGATCTGGAGAATCCTGGAGAAAAGCTTGAAAATGCTAAGATTGAAAAACAAAAGGCAAAGGCACCAGGATTGACATTACAGGAAAAACATACTTTGGAACTTTGAATTATAATTACCTTATCGCTATCGAGCCCTATGCTACGCCCTAAATATTCCAGAATTATTTATTATTGCTAAGTATTTAAATCAATTCGTCTCGTTCGGCTAACATTAGTGGGCTAATGCCCTTGTTCGCCAACCATCGTCTTTTCATGTCTCATGCTGCTGGTGTACAGCACGCTGTCTCAGTGCCAAGATCTCAGTCGTTACATTACGACCGAGATCTTGGCATAAATCGCGTGAACGGTACAAGTTACGCTTGTTAAAAACTAAGTATGAATTTATGAACCTTCCGATTTCCTTTGAACACACTCACTGGCGACTAGTGAGAACGCGCCAAGTATTGTCGTTCAAGCAAAAGCGCTGTCCCAACAAAGGCTTTCGGTTTGCACACGTCTATGTCGCAATTGGAGCTCAAATCCTGGTTTTCGGAAACGCGACATACGGAACCCTTTTTTAACAGCAGTGTGGTTTCATGTGCCAGTAGCCCATACGTAATACCCACCACACGTTTTGTAAGGCTAATTGTTAAACCTTAGCCCATCCCTGTTACCCACCATGCGCTCTTATTAGGTTCATTGTCAAACCGTGTCGGGTTTCTTCGATAAGTAGTCCTGGATTACACAGATTATTCCGTATACTAATCATTCTGTGTTGCTGAGGTTAAATTAGTAGAAAAGAGATTCCATCGTTCGTCGTATGTCCCTTTTAAGATAATCTCTAACAACGCTTGCTTCATCTGCAAGAAGTTCGAGAGTGTTTCTCCCCAAGTCTTAACGCAGTCCTAGATCGAAAAACTGCACCAGCGACCTAGGGTCTTCTTTCAGAGATTAATCCGCGAACTGGTGGACGAATCCCTGCCACATATCGGTCTTCGCCGCATCTCAGCCGTTGCATACCGGCGTAGCGTCCTCGAAGTACCCCTAACGCTTTCAGGCCATTGTTCTTTGGCTATCTGATGCTTTATATACTGGATTCACTTTTTCGTTTGATACCGTGAAATCAAATACAGGGGGAGCCTGTGGTGTCGTACGTCAGGAGGCGGCTATCGGCTTCGGAAGCGAAGAGGTACTACTTTGAGAACTGGCCGTCGTCTGGGCGGTAAAGAGGTTTTACCATCTGTATATGCTACAGTTTACGGTAGCTACTGCTAGTAGTGTTTGAATTCATTAGTACCTTTTATGCTGCTTTTGAAAAAAATTAGTAATTATAAGGCAAACCAGAAAATCGTAAGCGAGTGTAAAATTTCTTGCGGCTACTGGCCGTGAAAGGTGTGAATGATATGACAGCGTAACAGATATGAGATTATCAAATATTTAATAGATTTTCATAAAGCTCTCGATTATACTAAAACAGGTTCTGGAAGGTTTGTAGCCTTATATGAGGCAACTTTGCCAAGCCTTAGATTTCTCCTGCAGGATCCTCCAAGGAACTTTCTCGTGTGTTTGGGGCAATATATGCCGTGCAAAATAGTTTCTTACCCTATTCCCATCAAGCGTAGTCTTCGATATTTAAATTATTAACCGCGTTCAAAAAGTTGCACAATTTTAAAGTTCTTCTTCGATCCATAAAGCAACTGCAGTCGAACTTGTTTCGGTATATATATATATGTTTCTCTGCACATATATGTAGATAGTCACGTAAATGTTGAAACTATTAACCTTACATATGATCTAAAATTAATGATAATATAAAATAATTTTTTTGGCTAACAGTTTGCGTGCACAAGATGATCTGGGCGATTTTCAGCAAAACAGTAAGTGTTGATTATCCTTAACATAGCTTAAAACTCCAATTGCTGCTTCCTTATTATTTTGTTCTTATGTTACCAGGACGAAGAGGAGAAGGAGAAGAAGTACATGCTACCGCTGGACGGGCTGAAGATCAAGGACATCGAAGCGGGATTCATGAGCCGCAGGAACACCTTTGCGCTGTTCAACCCAGATCAGAGGTTAGTGAGTTGGCTTTGGCTATTTTCTTTTTAGCCTGCCCATAGTATGTATTGTTTATTCAAACATTTATTCTCGCTGCTAGAAGCATGGTGAAACGTTAGGCAATACGAAACTATAATCTAGCATCCTACAGTTGGTAGGAGAGCATTTCGTAACGCCAAATGTCCAGGTAATTCGTTGCACTGCTGGTCAGTGAACTAAATGTAGTGAAAATAGGATTCAAGTCTGAGGGTAGCAAAAACATTTGTTGAGGGATCAGTTATGGTACAGAGGTACACATGAACGACACAAGAGCCGAAATATGTTGTCTTCGTTGCATAAAAATAATGTCAACACCTGCACTTGTTATTATTGGAAAGTGTCAAAATAGTTTGTGTTTATTTATTTTTATGAACCACCGTAGTTAGTTGCATTAGCAGAACTGGCAGCCGTGACTATGGTGCAAATATGTACTTTTTGTAAGCGTGAATTTCAGAAATCATATAATAATGGGTGAATATAAGGAAAGCTGATATTAAAATATGCGGACCAAGTAACATGAGTCTGTTATACAAAGATATCTTTTTCGAGATGATTTTACAGCACTCTAAGTTCGTAACTCATATTTCAATAGAAGTGGGTTGCTTTAGTTCTGGTGCTACGAAAGTATTTAATTACGATTGATTTGTAGCGATAAGCATGATTTTAGTAATTTCCGTTCATTAGGGTTGATTAAGTTTGGATAAATTGAATTCGGTATTAGGTTAAAATGCTAGTTGTAGTTGAATTAATCGCATTGAGGTTAGCGTATTAAGCCACCGTGGGCGAGTTACGACTTTATTATGAAATACCGATTCCGTACGGCCAATTTGTGATCTGTTTATTGCTCCAGTGTGAAGCCTGATCCCGAAGTGCAGGGCATATGAAGCGCCTTTGATGAATTAAGGTTGAATTATTCATCTTGGGTGTAAGCTTTTATAATGTACTATTATTTACAAACTTATTGCGCGCTGTGACAACTATAGGAAATTTTCATAAACAAGCCTGATGTGTTTTTTGTTGTTTGTGGCTGTTACTCATAGTGACGTGTACGTATCTCGCCATGGAGAGAGATCCACTATTACTACTACCGCTTGTACGCTTCGCTAATTTCTAAGCAGTTCCTGTTGCTTTGCTACCTAGGTTTCTATCGCTGTTAAGGCGCTCAAAAACTCAAGAGCTTATTTCCTAACCTGCGTAAAATTTTATAGTCGGGTTTTGAACTGATGCACCACTTTTCCAAAATATGAAAATATCTATCAGGCACAATTTGTAAAATAAAAACTATATTTAAGGAATAATTTGTGAATATTGCTCTTGTTTTTTTAAGACCTCTAAGCTGGTAATAGTGCATCTGCTTCAAAGCCCGATCTCCATAATTTCGCTATATGAACAACACGAGGAAAAAATTCTTAAACAACAAGAAAGGAGCTCTCCAATAATATATATCGCAAAAAAATAATGAAAAAGGAACAGTCAATGTGAATAGGTATCATTTTGCGACAAACTAATACTTGTGAGTAGTTCTCTGTTGCAACTTTATTTGATTAGTAGATAGAGAATAAAATATAGAAGAGTAGTCTCTAGTAGTCCTGGATCTTAAAGCTCTCTACCTTGCTTCTTTCGTAAAAAGTTAAAACACGACACTTTTTTATTCTGACACCAAAGCAAGGCCATTGGAACGATCATACGTAGAAGTTTTACTCTTGTACATGCAGTATCAGGAAGGACGGTTATTTTTGCAAAATAAAAAAAAGTCCAGTTTGTAGACGTTAGGCTATCAATGTGAGGTATTGCTACCATCGATGGACATCACCTATTTTCACTCAGGTTATTTCACTTAGGTATAGCTATGCGATGAATCCCTAGATATTCAACCACTACTTTTGACTAAATACTGAGGTTATTTCTATCACACATAGCCGGTTTTTAATGCTATATTTGGTATTGGTAATAGAAACGTATCCGAATGGCAGCAATATACCTACATGTCATTTTGTTGTTGTTGTTGTTGTTGTTGTTGTCGTTGTCGTTGTTATCGTCGTCGTCGTCGTTGCTGTGTGTGATTCTTATCTGCTGCCACACGTCTGCTGCTTCTTCAATCGCCTGCAACGTTCAACTAAATCCTCATGGATCCTATACTAAAAAAATATCACCATAACCTCTACGACTACTCTACTCCTACGGTTCAACCTCGTCTACTAACTGACCAAATTAAACATAAACGGATGTATACGCCGACTTCTGAAACATTTTAATTATTCTATGAATTTACTTACAATGCGCCTTTAAACCACCGTCTGCCTAAAATACACAATGAATTCGCTTCAAAAAATAAAATTGCTCCTCTGCCATAACAAATTCATGCATCATAATTCATTTAACTACTTTCTCGCTTTCTATTTTCCACCGTGTGATGGCATCGCTGGTTTAATAAATTATGACACCGAATGGGTACGGGCTATCGATTCTGTCAAAATGTTTTGCTGCTTTGCTGAAATCATGTTTTTATCTTTGTCTTTCGTTGAATCTGCTAAACATGCTTGTCATGATTTGAATCTTTTTTGTGATTTCAATCATATCATCTTTTTCGATTGTAACATGCACCAATTGTTGTCTTGCACCGTCGTCTGCTGTGTGGCTGACCCGTTCAATTCCCATTGAATCCCATAACTAACGTTTGTTCGGCTTACCCTGGAGGAACGTGTACAAGGATTGCAAACAACTGGAGCTATCATGCGAGAGTCAGGAGGACGTCGATTCATGGAAGGTAAAGTTGCTGCTTTCTATTTGACGGACGCAAAGCTTGTTTTATATCATACCTTAAAAACGCCTATCGAACAGGTTACCTAAGGCCATACAAACCTAAGATAGGAACTATTCGTAGCTACCAATACCCATGCTATCCCATAAATCTGTTTTTACTTCACTCAAATAGTCATTTGTTAAATACGTCGGATATCATCATTGGCATGAGGACTTACTGCACTGCGTCAGATACAGACAGAACGTCACCAAAATCAGCGTTTGAAGTAGATATTTATTCCTCTAAAATTTGTCGCAGCAAGCTCACGTGTTAAAAATCATTCGGAAGTTTACGCGATCTTGTGAAGAACCTCGTTAGTGAAAGTTTGACGAGACGTTAGATGACCTTTCATGCAATTTTTCTAATCTTGTGTTTATAACAACCTAATAGTGATGAGTATCTGATAACCGAAAGAACAAGGATCTAACGTTCCTGATAATCCCACCAACCGTACAAGACCAAAGAACATATTTTAGCATCTGTTCCCCAGGTAAATGCACTTTCATGAAATACAGTTACAGATCGAGAACAGATTTTATTAAAAAAGCAGTTTGGGTCAACTTGGTTTCAGTGGTTTCCAAAGTCATGAGGAGTTGTCAGTACCGTACTGTTTGCAATGGTTGCATAATTGTTGTTATGAATTAGCGAGATATAACAAAAATGTGAAATAATATATACTTTCGCGACAGATTGTCTCCAGTGGGTCTTGACTTATATCTATCTCCCAGTGTATATTTTATGCTACATAATCTCTTTAAAATCTTAGCAGGTTTATTATTGTTGGTAATGATGACTTATTGAATAACATAATAATAATAATAAGAATAATGAAATTACATTATTACATAATTATAAATTAACTAAGCCATCAATATCTAAAATGGCTTGTGACTTTTAAGTATAAGAACATTGCGCTAGAAATTCAGACAACTATGGCCAGTCTAGAAGTTAGATTATGATATAATCTGCATATGAATATATATTATCCCCTTTTTTACATCCAGCTTGCTCACTTTGGCATAAGCTTATGAAACTATATATTTGACGTCTATGAAAGTGTAGGGATTGTAGGCAAAGGCCAGCTAACGTCTGGGAGACCTTGTGATGCGAGACGCGTAGAACGTCGTTTCTGAATGGCTCATAATATGACTCGCTTTAGCACGAGCCTTTCCTATCCATTTAGTTTTTGATTGTACTTCAATTGTCATTCATTACAAATTACACACATAAGGAGAAACATTGCTAATTGTAACGCCAGCTGGTTACGTTATATCGATAAAATTTCCCTTACAAATCGACAACGACTTATTCGATACTTATACTTACGAATAATGAGCTCTAATTATACGGCGAAATCCAATTTCGTATGTGTCAAGAGAAGATGTTCTAATGTAGACTACGAAAAAGTATATTTAGGTTATGCCAAGATCCTTTTATTGAAGATTCGTAATAATTAAAAAAAAAAGAAAAAAACGTTGACTTTTTTAAAAGTCAAGCTTGGCGCATTTAGGAAATGATTTTTACTCTTACATCTAGAGCCATTTCATAATGATTGTAGTTTGTATGTAAATTATGTAAAACTTACTCCGGTTTTTCTCAAACTTCGATTTGGTCCAGAAATTTCCCCTAAAGTGCTAAAAAACTATTTTTTTAGAAACTCAAAATTTGACAAGAAAACGAAAAAACCTTTGTATATAATGTTCGAGAAATTTTCGTTGGTTGTCAAGGAAATCTTTTACAATCCTCGTTTACGCAATTCACTCAAATATTTATGTAATCCATCCCAATCGGTCGAGCGCAGATAGACCCTAGTACCATCAGCTCACACGAAAATCAGACCGAAGTTGAGATTAGGAACGCATGATAATGTAACTTTAACTGCCCACAATTGAATAAGAAAAAGGATTATTATATATATTATAATTAGTTATTATTTTCGAAAAGTCTGGAGTAGCTAAAAATATTGGCTAACCCAGATCCAGTTGAAAATTGAGGTATAATCGAGATTATACGCACTTCCTTGGATGTTGTAATACGTATATTATTTTTAAGCGGTCTTTTTATAACTTCCAGTATAATCGGAAAATGGTGTGGCAAAAGGCTGTGTTATAATTGTCGATTTAACCGATGTCTTTTGACCATGCTTTATTTTATAATCCTTTGCATTTACTATTTTATAGCTAAGGTTTATTCTGTTTGATGTTCTACGTATGTATTTTTGAGTAAAATTTACTTCCTTCGTTAACTGAGTGCTTAGCAATTATTTCCAAGTTTAGTTTTTTTTTTGTTATTTTACTAATATAATCCAAAATTAATTTTAAAAAGTGTAAGCAAGGAACTGTGGTTTTATTTCCCGTTGCTCTATTTCATAAATTTGCTATATGTCCGAAAATATTGTAATTATCCGACGTGACATAAACAGCAAAGCCAGAGGCCACTCTACGGACAAATGTTACAAAGGGTACATAATAGCTGGTTACTAGTTTTTAATCCTCACATTCGCATGATTCGTACTGCTACATACTTGTTATCTATTATACTTTTTAAAATATCTGTTTGACCTAAAACTCCCTTTTTGCTGTCTTTAGCAGCTAGTGCAACCGCAGATATGCTGAACCATTAATTTTGTTTCTCACCAGTTATAAGCCCGATCGCCACTCTATAATATACCCAGATAATAACTGTTTGCTTTGAATTTGCCTACTTTTACACTGTCGCTGTATCCAGGCGTCGTTCCTCCGAGCAGGCGTATACCCCGAGCGACAGAGTTCAGAAGTGGGCGAGGAGGGAGCGACGGAGGGCGGAGAGGGCGGAATGGGCTCGGGCTCGATGGACCCACAACTCGAGCGACAAGTCGAGACGATTCGCAACCTCGTGGACTCATACATGAAAATTATAACCAAAACATTCCGAGATCTCGTTCCCAAAGTCATCATGTATCTTTGTATCAACAACACGAAGGACTTTATTTACGGCGAACTGTTGGCAGCATTATACGCGTCGGGAGATCAAAGTCAGATGATGGAGGAATCGCCAGAGGAAGCTGCTCGTCGAGAAGAGATGCTTCGCATGTACCATGCCTGCAGAGAGGCCTTACAAATTATTGGTAAGATTAACACATATCATTATTGTGTGTTAACCTTACAGGTGTGCTTGACGTGGTTAAACCAATCGATTATTGATAGATTTGTATTTGTAGCAAAATATAAGCATCATTTATGATAATTTCTTTATTACTTAATTGCGAACGGAGGCTCTGGAGTGAAGTGACACACATAAGCATTATGTACATAAAGGCTTTCACAAAAACGCTTTTTAATAACTATCCGAAAGAGGCAAATTACAAAAATCATGAAAACAAGAAATCACAAAATGCTTTGCGATAGAAGTATATAATCTGCATTATTCCTTTGCACTTCCTCCAAAAAGCAGAGTCCGTAAAACAAACATATCATTTTTTCTGATCTACGGGCTTTATTTTTTTAAGTTTTTCTTCAGTGATCTCTACTATAACATTGGAAAGAATCATTATGTAGTTACAGCTACTGGTGAAATTTAACGACAAATCGTATGAGCAGATATTAGTGGTCGCATTATTTTTTCCAAAAGTACGCATAAAAACTATGTAATTTTTTTTAACGCGGGGGAAATGTTAAAAAATATTGTGTGTAACGCAAATATAACTCACCTTTTTTGAAAAATATCCAAACACTATATTATCAGTAGTCTGACTTAAAAAGAGCTCCGGTAGATCAGTAATATTAATTGTTATTATTATAATTTTTCGAAACGTCTTTCATGTAGGCGATGTTTCGATGTCAACAGCATACCACCCTGCTCCTCCGCCAGTCAAACAGGACTGGCTGCCTCCCAGTCAGGTGTGTCCTCAGAACAATCGATACTTCCAACAAGTAACTATCAAGTAATGACATATATAGTGTAATGTGTGCACATTATTAAGCTAATTATATATATATATATATATATATATAGATATATATAAAATCGAAATTTCTAAACTAATAAGTAATTAGCCGAAGGTTGTAGCAAAATAATTGCTCCGTTACATTACGCAAAGAAAGTAGTATTAGAAACTGTTTGCTCAAATTACAGTCGTCCGATCCACCGACATCACCGGGCGGAAACAGGCGTCCTCCGACGAACCCGGGATCAGCGGGTCCTACGGGCCCCCGAAGTGCTCCACCACCTCCCGTGGGTCGGCCCACCCCTCTTCCTCCCCAGATACCCAACCGACCGAGGCCAGTTGCCCCCTCGTAAGTTTGAGCATTATTTTTAAGATTTATTAATTGTAGATAAATTGTTGTGCATACTTTGCTGTTAATTATGTGTCAAAAAGCATCACGGGCGTGGATTCATTACCATGGTTATCATTGCCTACACTGTTTAGCCTAAATATAACCATAGGTCACTTAATTAGGTCATTCACAGGAAGGAAGGCAGTCATGATTATATGTTGTTTACTGAGTACGGCACATGCAGCATTTGCCAGTAACTTGCCAGTTGATCACCCTGTTATGTAGATTACTCGAGTATTAATAAGATCCAACTTGTTTTACATCTCTACGACTTAGATACCTAGACTGTTCCAACGGTGTGGTATTTTATTATCAGTAAACAGCTTATATGCTATCATGTAAACAGCTTTAAAACTGTCGATCGAAGTAATGAAGGGACATTCTTTTTCTATTAATATTAAAAAGCAGGTTTATAGAATTTCGGTAGATTCGAATTAATTTATGATGTGCTTTGCGAGAAATGGTATTTGTTTTCTTATATTTCTTTTCACCTCTCCAACCTTGTTATTATATCCAGGCATAATCAGGTCAGAGATGATGTAGAAAGTTTTTGGCTTGCGTCTTCCAACTAAATATTTTTACTCTATATTTGCTAGTCAAGGACAGCACATTCGGATTTATTGTAGTGTTTGATGCATATAGGTTCCACGAACATGTAGTTAGAAGAAAAATCGGAACTGAATAAGTTTCTTTATTATATAAAAAAGCACAAACTGCAAGATCCCTTAAAGATTACACAGCCTCAGAAAAAAGTTAAAAATTAAGGATGTATGATGTCCGGACTGAGTAACTGGATTTGTATAATTCAGGTATGAATACGAAAATAACATCGTTTCTCAACATCGGCGTTATTTAGCTTTGCTAATAGCGCAAGCAAAAGTACTAACCACTTACAACTGTATTTCTTCTAAAAACACGTTTATTGGCTAAAAATCGTGTTTTTAAAGAATGTTGCTCCCCATAAAAACCCTATAAACATACAAACCAGCAGCTATCATGGATTAGCTAATAGCTAGCATCGTGATGGGCTACGTGTCTTACGAAGGATCTAGGTGTTTTCACTTAAATGATTAACAGTCTTTACAGAAGTCGTTGTTTTTCCATTAGAGTCTCAGTCATATTTTACTGCAAAAGTCGATTTCTTTAATTTGGATCTTTATATCGTCGATTCGCTATTTTATTATTTTAACACATTGATCGACATGTGCATTTTTCCCAGGTAGATAATAACAGCCGTAATACATAGGTGAACTTTGTAGTAAGGCTCTTATCGTGTACAAAATTAAGTGATCTGTCTTAAAAGGCGTGTGAATGTATATGCCAGTGATTTCCAACACGGCTACTTTTCCATTAATTTGCGCTTATGTTTTCTCTAGAACAAGCAACTTCAGAGGCATAGTTTTACTGGTGTAACCGAAAGTACCTATCAAGCCAGAAACAGTATCGTTTCCGAAAAATTATGGACCTGTTTGTCTTCTTTAAAAAAAAAATAAAAGTATAAAAATAAAAGTACGAGCCAAACATTTATCATATGTGGGCCGAGTGTGGGCTTGACCCTGACAGTTGATTTGTTTCCGCTGAGACCCTTGTCCCCTAGTTCTTGATTCCTTTTCAAAGCTTTATTCGCAGTCAGCTTAGATATTGATCAACGGTATTGCAGGCTGATAGAAGGGGCGGCTTACGCCACCGAGTAATCAACGCGGAGTCATTCTGGTTAGGTTTCGTACCTCACCAAATGAGCTAAATCGTATCCTCCGTGAACCCTCTGGCCGCGGAGAACTGTTGGAAATGTCTGTATGCCCGCCAGACACCTTCCGATCCGACAATCCTTTCCTTCAAAACCACCCTAGCTAGGATCTCCCATTTACCTTAACATTCGTGCAATCGAGTGATGTAGCATACCTTTTATTTAATCACCAAGGGAACGCAGTATTTCTGCATTTCCAAAACATAAGCAAGCACGCTGCTAGCGTATGATAAGTCATGCGTTCAATTCTTTTCGTGTATGGTACACAGTTGCCTGAAGGGTCCTTCCCTATCCTAAACAGGTAAATTTTGAAGGCGTTTGCTTGAGGTAGTAGATAAGTTCTCCGCCAGGCCGTGTGATCCAGACCTCAATATTAAGGATAATGTCTTTAAAGACCGCGTCTGGAGTGAATTTGCGCGTGGAGTTCCATTTCATTTTGACATATGCCAATTATGGCAATGATTCTTTCTTAAGCGTCTTCTATCCAGTCGTGCCATGAGACGTTTCTCTATTATATTTAAGTTGCAAGGTGTGGTCCCCATGTGGTCAAATCATGAGTGTGTGTGTGCTGATAGTGCCATGCGTTAGAGTGACCTTTAATGTTAGGACTCGCTGTGTTGTGCGTAATGAGTTCTTGGCCGTGTTGCCCGTAGACACTAGCAGAGTCTAGGCAGAAATCCTAAACAGTGCAATCGATTCCGCGGCTGCCATTACGAACATTTGCTTCCTCTTTCTAGGCCCGTAAGTGTTCCGTAGAGTTGTCAGTAGTTCCATAGGTACTTCGATAACTGTTGCAACAGCTCCTCTAATGTGGTACATGCACCATATTGGATGATTTAGCTTAATTCTCAAGTGTCTTGTCAAAATTTTAACAAAATTCATTTTTTTATTACCCAGTATCACCGTAGAAGATAGATATCTTTTACGATTACGGTGGATAATAAGAAAATAAATTTTGTTAACATTAAGTCATAAAGCGTGAGAAATATCTTTCTTGTGCTAGTGAGTAGTATGGTTTCCGATTTCGTAAGGGCCAATAATAACCCATCGTCTTTTATCTATATCATATTTCTGTGAGCATTTGATTCGCCCTACGCTCTGCACTCCTGCGTCCTACTTTTCTTCCTACTCGAAGTTCTCCTAATGTCCTCTGTGTAGGCAATAATTTATGCTTCCAAGAAGGTCGTCCAAAAGCAAAAGCCATCATACAGCAGAATGCATTGTAGTAAGCTCAATGTAAACCAATGTGTGGCTTCTACGGTCATAGAAAAAATATTCTTTCCGATGGCCGCCGATTATAAATACCCGGAGATCAGAGAAATCAGGTATCGAGAGATCTGTCCCTTCTTCAAGAGAGTAAACACCTTGCTCAAGGTAGGGGTGTTAAAAACTTTTTTGGCATGCAGAAAGCTCGTTACGATCAACTTCTTCGAGTACATTGCTGTTTGAGCTAATTCTCTCAATATTGTATGTGATAAGTAGGTTTTGGGCGTTTCCGTAAAAATTGCGTCTCTTGATGTTTGGATTTCAGCAAACCCAATCTATCCACCGGAATATCTTTCTTGAATAGAGCAAGAAAGGACAAGGTGACAGTTTTGAAAAATTTACGGGAGCCATAATGTAGTAGTAGTAGTAGTAATTAATATAATGTAACCTGTAGGAGTAATTAATAGTTACATAAATATGCTTTAATGCTATTGATAACCAACGGGCATTGATAAGAGTAAAATCTGGAGTTTTAGTCTCCACGGTTCTAACTTAGAAGAATACTTTGTCAGCGGTAACGTTTGACGGGGATATCGGCTAAATGACAAGTAGCAGTGTGCGATTGCGTCCTCTGAAAGGACGAACGTGTGTCCACAATATTTTTTTAAACAATTTAATCAAATCATAATTATGCCAATGTTTCAAAGACTAACATGTAAGCGCGTCTTTCTGTTTCTTTTCTTACGCACGCTGCCACTACCACTACTGCGGATATCACCAATTGTCTCAACAACCAACAATCTGCATAACGTATTGCGAACTTGAAATCAATTTATGTATTAAACAAATGCATACTTAAATAATTTTATACTTCTTACATTAAATTCACATTTACCAATATTAACCTGGTTCACTACTAACAAATAAAATCCTGATCGGAAAAACGCGTCAATTAGTCGTGGGGCTACTCCGACCGTTCCTCCTCGATCCTAAATTTCTCGGTCGGTAATGATGAGTTCGTTGACAACGATGATGACGATGAGGTCCTAGTCGGAATCGAACAAGAGGACGACAGTGAAGTGGCCATACAGCTTGGACAGGAACAGAATAACAATAACAAGATGTTGAAAGATGAAAACCATAGAATCCGAGTGATGTATGATTGGAATTTCCTTGTCAGTCGGGATGACGATTACGACGATGATCAGGACACTTCAAAGGCAGAAGGATGTGACAGTGAGTTATTATTTGAAGGCGAAGATGCTGGGGAAAAGGACGATGCCGATGTAGAAGAGGGTGACGAGTTAGGGCTCTATGTGGATGGGGAAAGAAACGATGGTAGTAATAGTAGCAGTAGTAGTAGTAGACGGGGAAGATACGGAGGAAGTGGCCGAGATTCGACGGATGATAGTGATGATGACGGGAATCGGCAGGAAAGCGGTGCCAATCAAAAACATGGAGGCCAAGAAAGGGCTCAAGGCGGACGTCAAACCGAGGAACGCTCATCAGCAAGGGAAGATAGCCACGAGCACCACAGCGAAGACAGCAACCATAACTCCAACAGCAGTAGCAGTAATGGCGACTCCAATGGAAATAGTAATCATGACCATTCAAACGGAAATCGTGGGGATAAAGAGGATAATGGGCGCAGAGATATTGGGGAGAGAGGTGTACAAACCGGCAGAAATGGCGCAATCCGCGAACAGCAGGAAAATCCAAAGGCTGACGATTCTGATGGTGACGATGACGAAAGCGGCGATGCAAATGATGACAGAAATAGGGAACCTGAACACCGAAGATCCGGCCCACATCAGCGGCATAGACACAAGGGGGAAAATAAGTCAGACGATGATACTGATGATGATGATGATCAACTTGAGCCCCTACAAGAGGTTGACGAAATTGCTGAAGAAGTGGATAAGGGAAACGAAGACATTTTACCGCGAGATCCAGATATTCGGGAATCTTTTCAGAGTGTATTGGTTATTCAGCAGGATCTAAAATACCAAATGCGTTTAGAAGTAAATCAGAGAGCTATCTCTACTACTACTGCATTAATTCCTTCATCCTGTAAATTGCTCTCATTTAGACCTCAGGCCCAATCAGATTCGTCACTTGGTGATGTTGATTCGATCGGCGAAAAGAGCCGCAGTTTAATTAGTGTATCTTCATGCACAAAGACCGTACGTAATGCGTCTACACAGGTCAATCTTCTGGAATATTCAACGTCATTGTCTCGTTCGGATAAACACAGTCATCGCTATGGAAGCCGCTCGAATGGCGGTGGCTCGGGGAGGGGTGGTCATCACAACGGCGCGGGACAACATCATCGATCTTCACGAAATGGTTCAATACACTCATCTTCTCAGGGTACTCGAGCGCCATCTGCTGCCAACTCTCAGGGTTCCATTCCTTCGCTTCCATCAGTATCAAAACGACCCTCAGTGTCATCCAACCGTGAACCATCAGAAGGTTCCCAGATTTCCCAGGTTCCATCGCTGTTGGGTGGAGGCTCCCAACCGCCGTCGGAGCCGCCGTCGGGTGTCCAGTCTCGGAAACAATCTCTAGCTCCAGGACTGCGTGCAACAAGGGCAGCGGGTAGGGGAGGCAAAGCTGGCGGGAGGGGAGCTAAAGGTGGTAAGGGGGGTAAAGGCGGTGGTAAAAAAGGTTCTACAGGGAACTTTGAATCCAACTGCATTATGGCCACATGTACGCTATGCGGTAATGCCTCTCGCAAGGGAGGTCATTGGGATCTGGAGACAGTCAAGCGCTGTCCTTCGTGTTGTCAGTGTTGTGCGCTTTGTCGACAAGCTATGCTGTTAGCAGCCGACACTCGAAATAAGGTCAGCAATAAAGACTAAATTTGTACCAGGATCCGAACGTCTCAAAAACGAATGTTACTGAGCACTTCAACCTAATACACGTGGAGTGTAATATAATAAACGCTGAAAGTGTTGTATCATGTCTTTGCCCAACGACAGGTATTGAAGACAGAGCTATAACAGTAAGCCAACAATAATAATGCCGTTATAATATAACATCACGCATATATGTGTGAATAAATGTGTGTTATCATATTGGGGTTGCAAAAATGGATTGCCTGCTCAGATGGCTGATAGAAGTTGCGAACAAATACTGTTATCCTTAAACGGATGCTTTTTGGCATTCATGGATATTGGACCATCGCTGGTGCCAGCCGATTCCGGTCTCATCGTTTAACAGAGGACGCACGTCATGCCCATAAATACACACATTCAAAATGCCTAATATATATATATATATGCGTAAATCGATACATTAATTTTTTCGATATTTTGACGATTTCCCTATTTACGCCCGCCCAAATCATATACGTATGTCCCATTAGTTTGATCTCGTTTCAACTTGACAATGTTGAGCGAAAAATGCATGAACAAGTCCGACAAGTTTATTCAGAAAACGTATTAGAGTCAAAACAATGACACATACATTTTCTGAAGATTCCAGAATACTGTTTCGGGCGACGTTTGCTGCAGAGGCGTAGCAGTTCACGTTTAGCTAAGAGAAACGGTCTAATAATTCTTAAAATGTACGATGTCAGACGAATTCATGAGACATTTGTTTATGACTTGGATGGGCGGAACCAAAAATAAGTCAACTTTAAAAATCGAATGTCCTCTTTCATATATATATATATATATATATATATATATATATTCTTATATATATGCGCGTGCACGTTAAATTGATAAACGGGTGTTTAGTTACTTCCCCAGTTATATTAAATTTAATTTCTGAGCGTTTATGAGAAAGATTCTCTATTGGAAAACCTGCGTAGCTCTGTCCTAGCCTTTTCCGGAATGTAAAACTACAGCTGACTGGAGGGTATTAGAAGTAACAGCGTTACTTTTATTGTACCATTTCTAAGTTGTTGCGTTCAACTAGGTGCATGGCACTTTTGGAGAAATTCCGTGGGCGAGTAACAAAGCAAGTTAAGAGGCTGGAAACCTTCAATGCATGTACCTAATCGAAAAAGGCTTCGGAAAACTGTTTTAGTTTACTTTGGCGGCATGTGAATTACACCCTCGTAGTTCCAAGTACGTGTCATTTATTTACAAACTTTAGTTTTAGGATGCCACGACTTCGGGTGCAGTGTTCAAATACCAAAAAAGGGCTGGAAAACCTGCGTTCACACATTTCCATAAGGTTGAAGGATGACTATTTCTGCTAAAAAATAAAACGGGGTTTTTATTCGACCTACTGTGTTATATATATATATACGTCAGAACTTTATTTCGTCATATCGAAAGTGATATAAATCCTGAGTTGGTGAGACGTGTTGAGACACATTTGCCTTGCTCACCTCCTAGATCAAATATAAATCATTGTTGTCAGCACGTGCTTGATTGCCCATTGTTATTTGCCCAGGTGATTGATTGTTGCCCATTTGTCAACAAACATTGATGGAAAAGAACACGTAGTTTAGAAGAAATAGGTGGTACTATCTCCGTTTAATTTATCAATCTATTTTATTATGGCTTTTAAGAGCGCTGGTGAATACTTTTCTGGAAAGATACAGCAATACCCATCTCGCCAAAACTTTCCAGTGTCTTTACAGTATAATATATTCATTAAGAACGATCTAGGATAAAACAAATACGACTAAAGTTTGAATAACAGTAACGTAAAAGTATCCTGCTGATCTGGCGAAGCAAGCGTATACTATAAGTGCTATTATCCCATATAATTAAACTATTTACGCATACGAGGTTTTTGTGTTTCATATTATGTGAATTCCCATTACTAGGCATTGAGACATTGCCGTTGATTCACTATTTTCTTATCTGTTTGCTTTGGGTTTTCTACGTTATGTTCCTGAATGAAGGCAGAAAGAGCAAACAACAAGTGTAGATGTAAACGCAGTTACCAATATTAGTAGATATGACGTCACAAAATAACGTATCACGAAATATCGAGAATATCAGCAGCAACAAGGTCAACTGCACACAGGCGTATGGATACACTATGCTTTTACTATGTTATTACTAATACATATAAGAAGCAAGACAACCATTTACTTAAATTAGTAATATTCATACGACGCATAGAGATTGCCGCTTCACAATAGATATAACCATTTACAAATGCCTAGGAGATTTTTAGCGGATGATAGCGCTTGAAGGCTTATTTCACTGTCTATTAATTTAGAATCGAGTTTAACAGGCGAACAATATAATAACAACAATAATAATAATAATAAACATCACCATGATTATAATTCTAGAATTAAACTTCAATTATTTCTAATAAAACGGCTGCCATCTGAGTGAAAAACAAACACCCACAATGAATCGGTTGCTAATTTAATTAAATAATTTAGTGTACTTTCACCAAATAAGTTACGCATTCAACAATTTTGCTTTTTACTTTGTTGTAGTGCCGTACAAGTCACTACCATAGTTTTGAAAAATTTTATTGACTGTCATAACTAAAACTTATATTTAATGGCACGAGAAAAGCATGAAAGGAAATGTGTTTCGTTTTTTTTGGAAGCTCAACACTCTGCTAGCATATCCCGGTGTTGAGGCTGAATTTAAAAACAGTCAATTGTACTAACGAACATACATTGAATAATTACCATGATCTTCAGTAGAATATTTTAATGTGCAACTTGTTGTCACTTACGTACCCCCGAAATTCTAACTATTTTTGCCCGTGGCAGCTGACTGGACTTTTATTAGCGGGATAATCTTCGCGGAGTTAGTTCGAGCATTCGAAGGTAGCTTACGATTTAGCCACACCGATAATATGTGAATACGCAGGTATAGAAATATTAAGGACATAATTGTAAAGCTTATTCCGACGCTGTTTAAGTTCAGAAGCGAACTACGTGACGGCAATTAAATACGGTCGTAAAAGAAGCTGAAAAGGTATATGCACAAATTCGAACTTTTCGAAGTTTTAACTGGAACGGGTCATCAAATCGCGTTTTGCGTCTGTTTAAGAATTGCTCAGAACACAGGGGAGACGATCCACTTCGTCTACAGTCCTGTAATCATGTAATGCATTGTCTAGCAATAAGATTAATTGGATGACTAACACTTGTTATTTAGTACGATTTTGATGTAATTGCCAAAATCTAGCGTAGCGCCTAATTTGATTTCTGCTGCCCGCGGCATATGTGGGGGGTGACGACTATTAGATGAAAAATGTATGCACTTGGCGTTCTTCCAGCCAACTAAGAGCAGACATATCTACTCGTCTGAAATTTTGAATGGCCGCGTTCAAATTGTCGTGCAGATCAGTATTGGTGCATGTTATATGCCGCGCAGAGAAAGAATAGAAAAACGATAATGAAATACAAAGTAACAATAATTTGTAGTACCTATAACGCAAGTAAAAGAACTAAGCATCGTGTAATAGCTACGTGGAGCGAATAAATGGTACGGGGAGGACATGTAAAACGGCACGCGAGAAGCAATGCTATGAAAGATATGGTGATCCAATTCACGTCACCTCTAAACATACTACTCCAATTATAATGGCCAAACGCTAATTGATAACGAATATACAAAGCTGGGAGGATGTTAGGCGGCAAAAATAACAAACGAGCAAACTACAAAACTCAAAATTGTAAAGGCGGATAAACAACACAAGCCTGCCACGATGGAGTTAACTGAAATATCGTGAATGTGAAGTTCAAGACTCAGTAAGCAAGTAAACTAGGGAGTATGACAATAGAAAACTATATGCTGTTGAAGATACTAGGAAACTAAAGCATGAAAGAAAAAAAAGAGCGTTTGTTGTTCTTGTTTTGTTGATTTTCCAGGTCTTTTTAGTTATTGGTTTGAAAGAATCGTTCCTTATAGATTAAAAGTGTTGCGTGCCATCGGCTATTTTCTATATATATATAAGAGATCGCAGGTTTAGCTGACAAACCCGACGATTGAATTTGATTAATGGAAAAGTATTGCATCTGTCCCCGCCAGATAGAACATATTTTTGCTACCGTTTTTTCCAGTCCTCAAAAACACTTCATCTTGATCATCGGAATCGTCAGCTTTGTCAACGATTTATTGAGTCGAACTGCCTTCCCTTCGCCTTAAAGAAAGTTAGGTCTGGTGAACACAGAATTGGGGTACACACAAAAGTTTGACACGATAAAGCGTTGTGCAGACTGAGTAGTTAAGTAATACATTGTCGTGTAGAGGATCTAGGACTAGCTAGACTATAGTTTTAGTCTTGAACAGAGCCAGCCTCTGGTCTCTTGCGTCAAACAGCTGCGAGTAACCTTAACTATCTTGGAGCATAAATTCGTAATAAATGATTACTTGATTATACATGGAAATTGTCAAAAAGGCAGCTTCAATTTGTCGTGCGACTTTTTTGGCTAGGGTCCCTCTTTGAACCGGTATTCACAAAATTGTATTTTGGTCTCGTCGTCGTACACCCACACCTAAACACCCGTAATAACAGCGTCAAAAAACTTTTTTTCGCTAATTTTCTTATGGCGATTCGGTTCTTCGTGAACACTAGTCGCTTCACCCCTTCTTCATTCTCATCCGTGATCGTCGTCATAGGCCTTCCAGGATAAACATCGTACTGACTGCGGATTATGTAAATAGATGTCTGTGTGGCTGATTTTTTTTTCACACAAGACTTCTTGCACGCCTGTTGCACCATTTAAAAAAAATAGTACTATACCGTATCGTTTTGAACACCCATCAAGAATGCTTCTACCCCACATATGTGACAACGACGCAGTATTTGCACACAAGCACTGATACTGGCGGAAACGTCTAGGATTATTGGTATGTTTAACTGCGCCAGCGATCAATTAGTTCTCGCCAATACACGCGGTCCTCTAGATCTGCGAAGTCCTGCGATTTTCTCCAACATTGGTAAGGTAACCCTCCGAAACCGGACATTACGTCGGCCATTGTAGTTATTTAGTGCACACGCCTCAACATTTCTGTAACAGAAATGCTGCTTGCGATGACGAATCACACTCCACAGCAACGTTTACTCTTGTAGTTCAGTCTACCTTTGAATTAATTAGTCTCTCAGCTTCTATAGTTTTGTTTTCTCTGCTGCTATTACTTATAATAGTGATATATCAGCATCGGCATAACTGTTTTGTTACGCACCAACTTATAATGTAGTAAAAACGGAAGCCGAAGGGGATAAGATCTCAGGATGTACCGCATGTTGCATAAAGCAAGAACTTACACAAATTTAACGAAATGAAAAAAAACGAATGCAAATGTGTTTCAAAAAATATTTTTATGAAAGCACAAGCCTACAAAGGCGTTTGCTATTTCCTAAAGTGGAAAGTGGAATAAATTTTTTTTCTTTTTAATCAAAAACCGCGATATTCCTGTTGTATGATGATTACAGTATCCATTCAGGTACCAGCGTGTTAAACGCATCCTTCATAAAAGCATTGACCATTTTTAATTAGAATGCTTTACAATCTCATGTTATATTTGATTTCATTTGAAAGTTGACGTTTACTAGTAGATCTAATATTTTTGGAATGTCTGTATTTAGACCCGAGGGAACATGAATGTAATTTCTGCAGGATTTATTTAGAAATTTCATTTTGTGATTTTTTACGATACGTTTCTACATGCACCACCAAGGAGTTTTAAACCTACTTATATAT